AGTGTGCCTCTGAATCAGTACAGTAGTATTCTATAAAAAGGCTCACTGTCTTCATAATTTTTAATATACCTGTTGTTTTGTTATTCAAATACAGGGCATACTGTACAATGAGTCAATGACAATACAAACAGTTAATAGAGTTTGAGAAAGGTTGCATTGTTGTGCTGAAGGAAGTATTTTAATATAGGTTAGTATGCTATTCATGCCAAGTAACATTAAATAGTAGTTAAAACTCACTGTGAGTTTTAACTACTATTTAGGAAGTATTTTGCCAAACTGCTCACTGTCTGAGCCATTCTCAGCTGTTGAGGAGGTATTGAGGCAGTCAATACATGAAGGCACACATATACAGCAGGCTGACTCTGGATGCTCAGACACACACCAGAAAAGATAATGATCTCATTGTGAAACAAGCACAAACAGCTACAACAGTGTCTTTGTCCACCAACCAAGGACAAGTAGAAGCTTCACTATAGAATTTTGTCTCTTCCCATACCATTGGAAGATGACTAGCAGAGTTAAGTTTGTATGAATGGCAACTACTATATATTCTGCCATTAGCATTCCAAAATTGGTAACTTTGTTTGCAGTTTGCTGGGACAGAGAAATGAACTACTATAAACTGACAGTATGGTTTGTAGCCACAAATCCTGTTTGAGAACAAATGATCACAGTATTAGTGTGTGGGGATTACTAGTGAGCACTTTTATACTAGTGAGCACTATTGCTTCTATTGCTGATCTGAAGAACCAATGACTCTCATTCACCTCTATTTAGTGTATCAGGGACAGTTGTACATTCAAGGAATTGATGGCCCAGTGGTACATTCAGGAAATCTTGTAACCTCAATTGTGTTCTTTTATGGCATGGCTATAAACAGACATTTTGCAGCAAGATAATATTCAGCTGTATACAGTTGTGGTTTCTCAGGAATGTCTTTCATGTTGCCACACTTGCTTGGCTTGCCTGGTCTCCAGATTCATTGTTCTTGTGCATTTGTGGGATTAGATGAGAAATCAGCTTCAGCCATTTACAAATGTGAAGGATTTACAGTGGCAATTCCAACATCTGTGGGAAAAATTGTTGCAGGATAGCATATAACTTAGTGCCTATATGACTACATGTCCAATCATATTGCCACATGATATCCAGATAAGAGGAGGTTCTACAGAATACTAAAGATTTCTTTAAATTGTACTTGGTAGCTAAACTAAGGGAGGCAAAGGTAGGCACATGCCCCAGATATCAAAATGAGCCTGTAGAATTTTTTGTAACTAACATTGAATCGGGCACCAGGTATGAAGTTTGTCTTGAGTGCCAAAACTGTACAGTACACCTTGATTGTACAGTGGTTCCATTGGAAATCATTTCTTTGTTATAATATTGTCATTGCTTATTACCATTGTCATTATGTTTGGACTAATCAAATGACGGTTACACACCTTTTTGGTATGTAACTTTTTTGTCAATGATTGTGTTTATATTATATAAANACATTGAATCGGGCACCAGGTATGAAGTTTGTCTTGAGTGCCAAAACTGTACAGTACACCTTGATTGTACAGTGGTTCCATTGGAAATCATTTCTTTGTTATAATATTGTCATTGCTTATTACCATTGTCATTATGTTTGGACTAATCAAATGACGGTTACACACCTTTTTGGTATGTAACTTTTTTGTCAATGATTGTGTTTATATTATATAAATTATCTGAACTTTGAAAAATGTTTAAATTAAAATATTTTTCAGTTTTTGCTATTTATTGTTATTGACTTGCATCAGTAAAAATAATAATATACAATAATATGCTAATGATATTATAGTCATCATCAATTTAAATATATAAACTTTTTGAAAATATTATGAAAGCAAACAGCAACTGACTAAAAAATGAAATTTTTGTTTGTTGTGAAGTAGGTAAACTTATTTCCATGTTTTGTGTTTTCTGCTTTACATTATGATGCTACATTTAACAAAACTTTTTATAAAATAGATAATGAGAAATAACTTTGTTTAGAAGAAAATTTGATTATAAAGATTATTTAAAAGTTAAAAATTAGAACATAATAATTATTATATTGAACTCATTTTTGTCTTTATTACTTAAATCTAAAATATTGTGTGAATACTTTATCCAATAATTTAAAGTGTGTATTCTTCAAAGATTTGAAAAAAAAAAATGTTTTAATAAAGTTCAGTTAACATATTTTTATTAGTAATGAAGAATTTCTAGCCTGAAAGTTAATCCAGCATTACCATTTAATACAGCTCTCCCTTAATAGTCCAACAGGTATGGAACCAAAGGGGTGTTGGATTACCAAAAGTGTCCAGATTACCGAAAATAACTACATATTTTGCATTGTTTTGCTAGCAGTAGCTTACAATATTCCCTACTCCAACTGTTTGAATAGAACTGCTCACAGAAAACACACGAAATGTGTGTCATCGTGTAAAAATTGGATGGGGAGATTCACGTCGCAACATGCTTCTGTGCAAGCAGACACGTAACGGGGACGGGTACCTTGACGGGAGGTGCGTCGGACTACTGAGCATGTCGGATTAAAAAAGTCGGACTATCAAGGGAGAGCTGTAGTGTAATTTGAGCTTGATTGTCTATATGTAATCAAGAACTTTTTGAATGAGTTAACAACATTAATAGGCAGTTATCAAACACTTAAGATTTGAAAAACAAAACTTGAAGATTTTGTTATTTAAGTTTTTATTTGTAGCTAAGTAATAATTAATTTGTAAGAAAATTTAATAATTTGAGTTTTTAATTATTTTGATGAAGTATCTCCATAAATCTTAATCATGTAGTAACTATATCAAAAAATACTTCTTAAAATTATATATTTGTATTAAATCAAAGACTAATTATTAGAATAAAAATGCTTATTTGCTATCTACTTAAAGTAAAATTAATCTGTAAACAAATAAAATTTTAAGTATGAACCTAAAGAGATTCTTATCCTGAGATATGTTTAAAAATTTGTATAATTTATACAGTATATGTAAATGTTTGTAAATTGTAATGTAATATCTATAGTTCATATTGAAAACTTCTGCATGATTTATTTTTAAAATAACAAAATTTTAGATATCAATATGGATAACTATAGAATAATCTGTAATAATTGTCTTTTTCTTACTATCCTAATTTTATTCAGACAAATTTCGTAAAATTTCATTATTTAGAAAGTTGTTTCTACACCATGTAAATTTAGAGATAATTAGCAATATTATGGTTAATTTTTTAGCTATAAATAATTTTCGATCTATTTTAAATATTTCTTTATCCATTATGACTTTTTTGTACTTTAAATTAAGCCATAATTATAAAGTAAAATATGGCTTCATTTCAAGTATAAAAAAATCATATAATTATAAAGTAATATATATGTCATCTGGATATTCAAGGCATTTAAAGCAGCCTGACCACTCTAGGGATCCAGGATCAAAATTCATGTGAACAACTTTCCAGGAATTTTTTTGTGAATTGTCTGTCGCAGATATGTTGGACTCTGTCTCTCACTACCCAACTGTTCCATTGTGGGTCTGGTGAAACCAGTGGTGCACTCAGGATTTACTCTTGGAGGAGCCGAGTTGAACAGATAAAAAGTTTTTAATGCAAATTCAATACAATTTACTTTTGTGACTACTAATTCATAAGTAGTGTAGAAATAGAAGACCCCACAGAATATATATTAAAAAAATGAATTTTAATCAAGAAAAGATTTTTGGAAAATTTTCTACTGTGTTTTTTCCTTTTTATTGGAGGGGCTAAGGGATCCTTGGCCCCCTGGGTGTGCCACTGGATCAAAAACCCATGATGAGTATGGAAAAAAGTTTCTTCTTAGTGACTACAGGATGAGAAGAGTGGTAATAAAAAAAATGATAATAATAAATGTAATATTATTTCCCTTCTTTACCTTTAGTTTATCCCATCTCCTGTATAGAGTTACTATTTCTTATTACACTCTTTCTTTCATTCACCCCTTGTCAGTTAATTGTTTTTCCTTCAAATCAGCAAATCGAAATGAATGCACCCTAATTATTCAAATTTCAAATATTGATTTATTTTATTTTTTATTATTTTTATTGGTGGTTTATTGATACTTTGCTATAATGGGAGTGGCAATCATTGCCTAAGTGGCATAGTCAGTTGTAAATAAATAAATTTCAATAACAAATACAAATTCTTTCAACTTCAAAAACTTTTAATTTCTTGCTGATTAACTTACATTTTTATATCTAGATAATTAATGGTACAGGAAATCTTTGTTATTTTGAAATTCAGGGGATAAAATATTTACACCTTTGAATTACCCAAGATTTACATATTTATATACTGTACAATATGCCAATGCCATGTAGCTGAAAGTAATTTATTAAGCAAATGGAATACAGCTACTTATACAGGATGCTATTTTCATTAATTAATAATTAATAGTAATAATATAAACTGCAGGTAAACAGCATGTGTCCAGTGAGAACCTAACAGGTCACCAGATAGGTTTTATAAAATTCCAAATTATTTACCAAATTATTTTTAAAATGGCCAAAAAAGTACTAAGTTGCCCAAAAGTAGTAGCCTAGAGTCCTACAAATATTTCAATGCTGCTTATTGTTGGTGTATGTTCTCATATAGTATTGAGGCATTCAATTTAAATGAGTGAGTTAACATAGCCACATCACAGTTTGGACAGAATTTTTACTTTAAATTAGGAAGTAGCTGTATTTTGAACTAACTGAATTCCTTAACATATAAATCTCTACATCTATGGTTGGAACAAAAGTACAGTTGTGAATTAATAGGATTTTGTAACTGTACTTTTGTCCCAGTCACAGAACTAAAAAGGTTTCAAACTATCTGAGTTTGAATTAACAAGGATTTCCTGTATAAATTAAAAATGTTATTTAGAATAAATAAGTTCACATTCTTCATTAAAACTGTGATTTTGATATTAAAAAAAAAATTAATATATTAAGCTAACATACCTTCAGTTGTGCTCTGTTATTAAAGTGCATTGTATATTGATCATCATCCCAATTAGAAGGACATTCCGAAAGATCTAAACATTTGCAGAGTTTTACTACCATTGTTGACAACCAAAATCTATTATAGACAATGTTACATGCAGTAGTTTGTTTTTCACATAATGGTAAATTTTTCTCTGAAGTCACCTGCACAAATTTGAAATTAATAATGAATTAAAAGTAATTATTAGAAAAATTAAATTATAAATAATAATATGAAACTATGAACACTAAGTTTTGGCTCTACGAAGGACTTATGAAACACTATTGACATTATGGAGTTATCACACAGACATAGGTGGATGCAGGTTTATGATGATGACAGTATGTATTTCAGACAGGTTATCTGTCCCTCTTCAGCTGTATTTGTTACAATTTGGTGGGTTTACAGGCATCTATAATATAAAAATACAAGTGGTTTTTCATTACAAACATTTGGGTTTGTGATTGTAATGAAAAACAGCTTGTATTATTGTAGATGCCGAATTATAACATCATCATAACAAACCTGTGTCTACCTACTTCTGTGTGATTGCTCTGACATCAATAGTGACAAGTCTTTCATAGAGACAAAACTTAGTGCTTGTAGTTTTATATTGTATATTGTAAGACAAAAGACAATTCACCATAAATAATGATCGTATGCTTATATTTTTAATTTTGTTAATTTTAATTTTTATAAAACAGTTTTAAATAAGATTTAAAATTTTCTTCAGTGAAGCATTTTGTTAATATTTTTTATACAATATCTTATATACGTGTGCACATGTGTCAGTGAAATATATTTTTGTTTTCTTTATCATGGTCAAAAAAATATATTTTTACTTTTGAAATTAAAAAAAATATATCTTCAAATAAAAATGACTTAGGCCACTTTCCATAATCACAGCCACATAATATTGAATTTAAATTAAATATTTTTTTGAAAAATTATATAAAAATAACAATTATAATAACAGATTTAATTATTAATGAATTATCCAGAATATTTTACTATTAAAATACTTACTCCATTATTATAAATAATATATGGTTCTTGATTATAAGCTGAAATTTTTAATTCAGGAAATGACAAGATACATGCTATGACAGTGACAATTATTTTTGCCATTTTAGTTGAATGTTGGTTGGAAAGATACTTCGAATTATCTGCGCAGCAGTGATGCTATTTTTATACTTTTGTAGTAGTGTTGCTATATTTAATGACTCTGTTTGTTTGTTTGTTTGTTTTTTTTTTTTTGTTAAGATGTTTAAGTCATATTATTAAAATATGTTTATAATATTTAAATGGCAAATATTAATTTCTTAATTTTTAAACAGGTGATGGAAGCTACCAAATCCATGATACGTTGCCACTTATGGGAGAAATTACAGACCACACTAGAAAACGAATCCCGTTCTCTACCTAAACAGTGGATGTCTGCTTCCTGTCAACAGGCTATTAAACAAGCTATTGAAAGTGGTATTTTAATAGAATGAAATGAAATCTCAATTAGAAAATACTCATTTGTCTTCCTTAAACTTTTAAAACATGGATTTGAATGCTATTCTCTAAGTTTGAAAAATTCTTATGAATAGCCATGGCTCATTGTTTGTTGTGCCTTCAGAAGAATGTTACCTGCTTGAAAGGAAATTGTTCATGTATGTTCCTATATGGCATTTGTATATAAATATACATATATATATTATACATCTTTTATATCAGGATTCTTGGTTAAACAATGTAAGTCCTTGTGTTTTAAAGTGTGAATGTTCAGACTATCAAGTGCACTTTCTGACATAAATTTTCTGCCAGCATTTTATAAAATCATTCATGTTGTTACATCTCCATATTTCATATGTTATATTCTTAACATTTGTATTACAATTAATTTGAAATAGATTATTGTCTTCATATATTTGTCTTCTGATTATAAATTTGACAATAGAATATATTTCATACTTTTATTTTATTTATATTTGTGTAAATTGTATTTAATTGTTGAACTATAAATTTCATCTTGTTATAGAAACATATCATATATATATATTGCAAAAGTATTAGTTTTACACTGTTTTAATGAGCATAATAAACTTGTTCTGAAGAAATTTTATTGCAACATTAATAGAAATTTGAATGTCTTCATATCAACAAAATTTTATAAATTGAAAATAATTTTTCAGTAAGAAATATGAATTTTCAGCTATAAATAATTTTACTTTATCAAAATTAAGCTTTATTTTTATATCTTTTAGCAACAAAATAAACATTCGTTAGGTGTTAAAAATATTTTAATTTTTGACAGCTGCTTGCCTGAATATTAGATAATATTAACCATAGTATACTGTACTAGTGTATCGATTATGGAAAAACCTACTAAAAAGCATGAAGATAATTAACATAATATTCTGCATGATGGCCTATAAATATTATTTTTACAAAATATAGTTGTTATTTAATAATATTTATTTAAACTATTAATTTACATAACATAGTACTGTACTAAGAAATATCAATATTAGTGTGATTCATTGTGTTTTTCAACTTATAAATCTAATATTTTGACAAAAACAATAATTTCATTTTTCAATTCTTATGTTGTTTTCAAATGTTTTAAAACGTTTTTATTGTGATATGACTATTAAAAGAGTATTTGATATTCATATAAACAATGATTAAACAAAAATATTTTCATAATATCTCAACAAGTGTAATTAATATACCCAGTGTAATTTTTCTATGCTGGTTTTTTGTCTATGTTATGAAGTGTAATATGACTTTTAAAAATATCTTTATATAAATTCATGGAGTTTTAATAAACTTGTTATTGGCATAAATGTAATATTTTGAATAATTTTCATCATAATTTAAATTTTAAATATAATTAATATTCATTCATTTTAAACTTCTATTTTATTTTAAGTGTGATATGTTTAAGTGAGAATTAATTTTGATATTTAAGTAATTATAATATTATCATCATCCCAATTAGAAGGACATTCCGAAAGATCTAAACATTTGCAGAGTTTTACTACCATTGTTGACAACCAAAATCTATTATAGACAATGTTNTAAAATTTGTATAGTTTTTGTAAATTAGTTGTATAATTATACAAGAAACTATGAACAAATTTCAATGTACTGTATAATGTTACTATGTAACATATTATATAGTATATTATAACTAAATTTTATAGCATTTTCCATCAATTAATCATGTAAAACTTGTAATCATTTGGATCCTTTTTGCATGATAATTTTATGACTATTGTTTTTCCTTTTTCATAATTTAAGGATAACAAATTTTTTGATCCTGTGGATCTATAGGATTGTTTGGTTTGCCTTAAAAACATTAATTAAGACTTATTTTGTATAGAATTATTAAGGAATGGTCAAAGTAAAAAATGGACGTATTTAAACTAATCTACATTCAGTGTGATTTGAATAATTCTTATAATTTTTCTTCAAGCTGAAAATTGAGAATAAAGTAGAAATTCAACAGTTTGAAATATTTTGATAATCTGATATGTTACTTTTAATTTTGTTATAATTATTTAAGTTTTCTGATTTTAAAAAAGGTAATAAAATCATCTTGTATATTAATATAGTTTATGTAAAATAGGAATTTGGTATGATCTGTAACAATTTCCAATATTATAATTTTTATAGCAATATCTAAATTTATTGGTTTTGATAGATATAGGAATCATCTCTCATATTTAATTCATTAAATATTAATATAATTGAATCATTTATAATTTATGTATGCCGACTTGTCAGATCGTATGTGATTTGATATAATTGGGGTTTCAATTCATTAGCATATGTACAGTACTATACATTGACTTGTTTAATTCGGTTTTAGATCTTGTTACTGTTGCTGCTTATGATTTGTTTAGAATGTTGTTTGTTTAAATCAATCTCATAAAACTCTAATTTGGCTATCCAATTGCCATAAATTCATTATAAAATATCATTTATATTCACTTGAAACATTTAAATAAGATTCAACTTACAGATTATGTCAATGCAAGTAAAGAAAATGAGGCAATGGAAAGCTTTTGGTTCCTTGTGAGAACTAAATTTTTTGTTACAAAGTCTTAAATCAGGTTAGTTGGATTCATATTGATTTTTGAGTGCTTAAATTGATAACATTTAAGAAATTATATTCTCTCAATTTATTCAGTTAGTGTAAAAGTATGTATAAGCAACCTCATACAATTAAACTGAATGCAATTTTAAGTAATTAAAACTCTTTGTTAATTTTCAGTTGAAATGAATAAACAAATTTGATATGAACATATTGAATAATTGATTTAAATCTTTAAATATATTAATTATAACTGTATAATTTTGATTAATTTTTGTTATTAAAATAAATTTTTATGCTGATATTAAAAGTATCATATATACAGATATAAATTTTGATTTTAGGGAGAGGAATGTATTATTAAAGTAGTATAAATTATCGTAACTTATATCGCAAATATGTATCTGTTTCACTATTAGTAAAAAAAGTTTGTCACCATTCGTATGTACAGGTGAAATATATAAAATTTCTGTTTAGATATTATCATTATACAGTGGGTGATCGGTTAACGAACATAATCCGATTATCGATTTACCATAGGTTTTTATGGGAATTTGATTAATTCGTTCTGGAGACCCCCCAAAAAATAAAAAATATATACTTTCTTACTACGTTTATTTACATGTAATAATAAAATACATATATACACAGTCTTGCATTTTTATTAGTCGTGTTTTTTTCCGTTTGTGGGGGTTAAAGAATCTGTCGAACGTCGATTGCTTTTCTCTCCTTCAAGATTTTTCAGAAGTAATTACAGAAGAGTATCGATTATCCGAAAGAATTCCAGTCGGCAAATTTAAATTTTCGCCAGTGCTGTGGCGCTGCAATCTTTGGCTATGTCTTGGGCTACTCAAATATTTTACGTTTTTGATACTAAATTAACTTCTGAAGTATATTTTTTTATTGTTTTTATATTTTTCAATATATTTATTTTGTTTGTGCAAAATAAAAAAATAATTTTTAACGATACAATAGTCTTCGTTAGGCTTAACATCGACGAAAATTCAACGAGAAGCGACAAGCAACGGAGAAAAATTTCAACATGCGATAGGTTAATATATTTGTTCGTACGTAATCTGTTATCCGAAATATCGATTTTCCGAACAACCCTAATCCCCAATTGATTCGGATAAACGACGCTCTACTGTAATAGCATTGTAATTGTAGAGATACCTAAGATTATTAACCTCAACCTGGTTTAGATGCCATTCTAAGACCGTCGTTCTAACATCAACCCACTTCAAAAAAATGTTTAATAGCAGATATCGACATTAATTCTCTTTGATAATACAGTAAATTTCTTAGATAAGATTGAACTGCGGCCTACTGTAGACCTGTTCACGCCATACTGCCCAGTAACATTAGGCATCTTTTGCCCGCTCTCTGCCTTTGCTATTATACTCTCACTTTTCGAAAATAATAACCGACCCAAAACTTAACGAATGCCCGCTCGATAGTCTCGCGAATACTATAAAAAAAAATTTCTGTCAGAAACATGAAAGGCTGAAATTACAAGGGATAGTTTCAAAGTTCAGAATACTATCCAATCAGTGTATACCGGGTTAAGAGTCGATGTCGACGTCTCCCAGGCTCCAAAAAATTTCGAATTGTTGTCTGAAGGCAAGGGATGAACCATTCGGTATTCATTATTTTACGTCGCTTCTTCTTGTGTTTGTTCTGTGAGGTGTTCGTTGTCCGAACATAAAAATCTTTCGCGAAAGGTTTCGTTAATTAACCGATCATCCACTGTACAATGAACGGTGAAAGAATAAACGAAATGCATCAAAATTGCTAAAAAAAAAAAACTCTGACTTTAAAACTATTTTTATATTGGACGGCAATTTTTAATCGTACTTTTGATTTTTTCAAATTTAAAATATATGCTCTCCATCTCAAATTAGTACTGTAGTATCTTGCCTCTGTACATCATACTTTTCCGTAAGCAATGGAGTCGTGCCGGTCCACAGCTTTCGGAAAAATTTTTGAATTTAAATAATGGAACTTCCGGTTTACACTGGCAATCCCGTTATTTAAATTTTTTTAAAGTTCGTATATAGTTAATAGTCTTCTGCCCCTAAGGTTCCCATATCTGGTCTCGTCTTTCATCTATCTAACTCCGTTCTCGAGATTAAGGAAAGACAATATCGAGACGAAAGACGGACGGACGACAGTGAGCATTTATAGGTCTACAATTTTTTCAAATTGCAGCCCAAAAATTACAAAATCACAAAAGAAATTTGGAGAATAATGATAGTAATCGCATAAGGTTTACAGTCGGTATCTTCATTAAATAATGAAAACTACTACGTTAGCAATAAACCAGACTCTATTGCTAACGGTACAGGTGCAAGACACTACTAATTTGAGATGAAAAGAATATATTTTAAATTAAATGATTTAAAAATATGATTAAAAATTTCAACCCAGTATTGTGACGAGGTTTATAAATCAACAAGACTTATTTATTGTGACGATGTCACAAGAAATAAGTCTTGTTGATTTATAAACATTTCTATTTCTTGTTTCCAGAAGGCGACGACAGTTCAATCAGTTTCCACAAAGAAATGATACAAAAGCTTTTGAATATGAAATTTGAAAATAAAATAAATTCTAGAGAGGGGCAAAAAAATGATAGCAGCACCCGGTATTCCCAGGTCGTCTCCGTCCCAAGTACTGACCGGGCCCTACGCTGCTTGTTTTTTTTTTTTTTTTTTTTTTTTAATAAACGTCCCTTCTTTCCTC